CTTTTATACAGATCTAGGTTTTTCTACACTTCCTTCTGGAGATCAGGTCATGAAGGAGCTCATGATTTTGATTAATCCTCCTGTCCTTTCTTGGCCTTGGGAAAGTTTGGACATGTGCCTTAAGCACTTTGGGGGTTTGTGTTTAGCGGGTTTTTCTTTTTATAGAAGTAGCTTTATCTTTCTTTCTTTTAAAAGATACTTCAATTTTATTCATTTGTCCATTTTCTTTACTTCCTTCATGAGCTCTGACATTTTACACTTACTTTTATTAATCTTCTATCTTTGTGTTGTCAGCCACTTCTAGTCTGTTAATGAAAATAAACCATAGATGAGTGCACTCAAAACTGCTTTCTACATGTTTGTATGAGGAAAATTTCCTTGAAACCTCCTGAAGACTCCTGAGGCACCTTTCCCTGGGATAAGTACCTCACCTCTGGGATATTCAAATCTCCCTCTAACTCCCAGCTCTTGTAATGTGGATGACTCAGGTGTTTGCTCAGTTGTCTCCAACCAGCCCTCTGTAATCACGGGATGATTTTACAGCAATATTAAACAAGTGCGGTATGATTCACAGACTCTGTAGAGAAGCATCTCAGGGTCCAACCTGTATGACAAGTGGGACGTTTCCTCAACTGGAGTTGTGATGTTTGTGTTGAGACTTCGACAAACACAGTGGGTGATGGTGTAGGGCTCTCGTTCTCCTCTGCACTGTTAAACATTGTGGGGTTCATTTTGTCACCCAGTAGATTATGAATGGACAGTAAGGATTATTTAATTATCTCATTTCTTGAGGATATGAAGAACAGCACATCATTTGTGCTGTCAGCTTGAAAGTCCTGCATATTCACCCAGGATTTTACACTGACACAATTATTTCAGTCTGAGATGGTATTCTCCAAGTGACTCAGCCCTGGATATTATTGCACTGCAGCATACCAATGGGAGCAAGGCGGGTGAGAAAGCAAAGCTACCAGGTTTTCACTCATGTCACCCTGGTCCACAAAGCACAAATAATAGCAAATAATTACCTGTGTGGTTTAAGCAAAGCATCACAAAGGCAAGTTAAAGCAAAGATTGTACCTGTCTGCACCATCTGAAGGAAAAGGAGGACAACAGGAAGAAGCCACATTGTCCCGCAATGACCTGCCATTGCCATCCTCCAAATTGAGTCTGTGTCTTCCACCGGTTTCGCTGCAGGGCTCTCGGGTAGCTGCTAAATGAAAAACACTGGAGTGCCAAGATCAGTAACTCACAAGAAAACAAAACCTCTCAGAGCAAACCTTGGGCTTAATGTCAGGATGGGATAGAGCTCAGTAAGCATATTGCAAAGATACTGCCTCCCAGCTCTGGTAGTGCCTTAGGAAGCAAGTAAAGCACAGAGTTAGTAAGAACAGGAAAAAGCAAGAGAGAAAATTCAGAATTTTTTCTGGGTTAGGCCAGTAAGGTCTTGCACAAGGTTTTGGTCTCTTTTATTCCAAACCACTGTAGTTCGAACTGCTTTAGCTAGGGTGAAATTTACTGTCATGCTTGTAGGTAAAGAGCTGTAAAGCAGGTATCCTGTACAGATGCAGCAGGCTGGATGGGACCTCTGGGACACACAGAATCCAGTCTCTGTCAGAAGCACCAGACCACATCATATTTGCACAAATTCACCAATTTTTACCTTATTCTGGAAGGAAGGTTTGGGTTTTTTTGGCTCACACCACTCTACGGGGGCAGCTGTTGACGGGGCCTTGTGGTCTGGGGCCCTGCCTATGGAAGACAAACCTATTGGGTGAGTGAAGCAGTAAAGGGGAAGGAAAACCCTGCTTGTTATTACTGCGCCAGCACAGGTCACAAATGAGTGACCGTAACAGTGACCCTTTGCTTGTGTTGCTCACCTGGAAATGCAGAAAAACAGGGGCTGGCAAGACTTCCAGCATCACCCAGCCCAGTTTACTGAGACAACAAGGGATCAAGTTTACCTCTATTATTCTTGGCATGCTGGCCAATGCTTCAGCAAAGAACCCTTGTGGGAAACTGCTTCCAGTTGGACACTGTGCCTGCAAAAGTGTGTTTTTTGCCATATGGTTGGATAGCATAATGAAGGCCAGCTTGTCCACATTTGTTCCCTGGGGCAGTCCCCATTGTGCTGCAAACCTAACAGCTATTTACCTCTCCTGTGCTGAAAGACTACCAGCACCAGAGACTTTTCTGCCCTCCAGACAAAATCTATTAGAGGGCTTTTCTAGTCACAGTGTTGGAAGGTTTTCCCTGTGAGCTCCCTGAAACTTTCTTGTTGCAACTGAGATCTGCTATGTCTTTTTATCTTCACTACAGACATGAAGATCTGATTAGTTCCCACATCTCTGCTATCGCTGTTTCTCCTCAGGCTTCCTCTATTTTAGTTTAAAGAAGCCTCAGTTTTTTGAAGTCCAATAACTCATGCACAAGAGTCTCTTGCCCAGATAAATCCCGCCATGTCCTACCTTTTTATTCTTCACGTCAGTCCTTTTCAAAGTCTTAGCGATTGCACTCTTTACTTACCATCCTTCCTTTCTTCTCTTTCTTATCAAGACCAGCTTTTCCTTGAAGGCTGAGCACTTAGAGCATCTCTTTCCACAGTCCTTGGTAAATGTCAACTCTTGCCTAAATCAGCAGTGTTTACTTGCTGTGAGGAGCTGTGGTATTTTAAAATCCACCACTTTAATCCACAGCTGTGTGATGTACCTCTTTCCTGGATTTTACAATCTGTTCAAATTTTGCTATGTGAAATTACCCCCAAATAATTGGTCTACATTAAAAAGTGTGCTTTAATGCTTTCTTTTCTTGCAGGCCTTGGAACTGGTTATGGGCTTTGGTAGGAGGCCAACATACAAGCAGATGTTTCACTCATGTCCTCCCAGCATGGCAGAGACACTGTTACAGAATGAGGAATGAACATGAAGCCCTTGAGCCTCAGGCACTATAGACACCATGGCACAGGATGAAAGGCTCTCTAGGAACCAGTTTCACTTGTAAAGGGCAAATCCCAAAGCGTCGCATACTCTGCAGAATAACAACACTTCTCTGAGCACAGTCATGCTGTGCACAAACATGGACTTCCATCAGCCTCTCATGCTCATCTGTTACACCACTGTGTGCCTGCTCCTAAGGTGCTACTTGGCTCAACAAGAACGCATACACATACCAGCTAGTAAAACCCACCTACAGCCACCATTGCCAGGGGGAGGTCCTCCCCTCAGCTACCTTGACACCTTGTAGTCCAGTCTGAGTTTCACTTCAGTTCTCAGGCTTCACTGAAGAAGAATGCCCTTAGCACAAGTACATAAATAGGATTTGGGTAGTGTCTAGGCTTCAGGTTGTCCCTTTAAAGAGGGATGTTTTACCCTGATGGAGCACAGAGCAGGCAACCAGTGGGGCAAGGGATTCACACAGCAGTCCAGTGGTCAGAAGAACTCAGGGCACAAACACTGCTGAACAAACACTGAAGTAAGCTGGCTGAGGGTTTATACAGGTGGAGACCATCAAGCTGGGGTAACTGACCTGCAGTCCTTCCTGCTCACAGTTACTGCTGACTGCAGCAATACTGTGCTGCCCTGTAGAGTTGTATTTCTAGTTTGCCAACCTGGTTTGCTCACGTCACCTGCTCTATGAAACTAACCAGTACCAGCTCAAACCCTAAGAGATAAGTAGCAGGTGTCTGGTGAAGATCAGTGTAGCTCAGACAAGAGGAGGGCACAACAGATGATTGGAGAAGCCTTGGAAAGGCCATCAGGGGCCCAGAGTACATGATGTACAGGACCAGGCTGAGGGATCTGGGTTTGTTCAGCCAAAGGGAGCTGGGGGATTTCTGTAACTAGGACTGAAGCTGAGAAGGTTTAAAGAATATATGAAGGAATACTCCACATACAAAACCCCGTATCCGAGTGCAGAGCTTCTGCCTGGAGTGCTACTGCACAGGTAAGATCCACAGTACCTTAACTATGTATGGGAAATCATCGGCTGAGTTTGCCTCTTTCTAAGAAAATCAGTATCTTGGCTTCTAACTTGCCATTTATGAATCTCTAGGCCCCCTTCCATTTTCTACCTCCTCATCAGCCTTGTCAGACGTATTTGATTAGGGGCATTCACTCTTTTTTCACTTGCATGTGAGATTTTTTCTTCATACATTTGTAAGCTGGCTGGAGGGAATAAAAATTTAAAAAATAACAAAAAAAAAGAAAGAATTCTTTATTTCAAACGCTGGTGTACATCAATATTGCACCTTTCAGAAACACCTAGAACACAGGCAAGGAGCTTTCTGATCCTCAGCCACACACAATCCAGAAAACAGTGATCATGCATGTATTTTCTTTTCTGATGAGTAGAACAGAAGTGTTCAAATTAAAGTGAAGTACAATCCATATAAAGCACACCCACACCCCCCACAACCCCCCTCTTTTAATTAGCTGCTGTGACCTAAGCAGGCAATTTTGTGGAACATGTGGTTATTTAGCATCACCTGTTGAATACTTACTTGTGTTTCAGCTTTTACCAAGCAAGCTTCCCTGCTCCCTTAATCTTCTAAATACATCCAGAGGTAGAAGCTAAACAGCTCTAGTAATAACAAACTCCCTGCGGAGCCAGCTGGCTGCAATATGAGGATTAACTGAGGTCCCATCCTTCCCACTTTCATCATGATTAGTGGAGGTTTATAATATGTTCAGAAGCCCATGGTGGAAGCACTTGGGTGAACATGCAGGAACCAAAATGGCAATATAAATATAACAAAAGAACCCACTGAACAGCCATTTTGTTTGGGGAAAGCCCCCGCTGTACAAACAACACCAGCAATCTGCACGTACCTGCTTTAAAGCAGGAATAAACCAACCAACCAACCAACCAAAAAAAGCAGCACCATAATTTTAAGGAATCAGCTCTCAAAACAAGTTTAGTAGATGTGGCTAAAAGATACAAATAGAGTTTCCATTACAGGAAGTGCACCTTGTTAGCTAACAGAAGGATCAAGAGCTACACCACTACAAATTTTGTCTCATGACTACTTTTACCCAGCGTAAGAACCTGGACAGTTTGGTATAGACACCATATTTGCCTTTCTTCGCACATCCTTCTCCCCAACTAACAATTCCAGTAACAAAGTAAGTATCCTTATATCTGGTTACATGGGGACCTCCACTGTCTCCTTGACAAGCATCTTTTTGCTCTGTTTCATAACCAGCACAGAACATGTTTTCTGTTATCGCAAAGTTAGTGGATTGCTTGCAAGTGTTCCTATCAACATAGGGAACTTCGAGCACTTTAAGTTTTTTGGATAGCCGTCCACCTTCAAATTCACGCCCAAAGCCACTGACCATCCCAGATTTCTGGCTCATCAGAACTTCATTAGCAAAGTCTGCTTCTGGGAGGCATGCTGCTATAATGTACTCGGAAAACATTATAGGTTCCTTCAGCTTTATTAAGGCTATGTCATTGTCGTAAGTCTCGACAACGTATTTAGAGTGAACAAATATTTTGTCCACAGTATGCATCGTTTCAGACTGTTCTTTCTTTTCTCTGTCCACTTCACCTGTACAAGATTAATAAAAGGGTCATTAATACATGGATAGCACAAGAAATGAAGAAGCTTGATAAAGGAAGAGAGTAGTACACCCATTCCTAACACTCTGCCTAAGCCTTCATACCATACAAGTAAACTGTAAAAATGTACTGCAATACTTATTAGCAGCATCTGGATCAGTATCAGTCCCGAGCTTCTGTCTATGGAAATTTTTGTACCAGTTTACATATATACATATTATAACACATATTATACTGTACACATATTATGAAGGCATAAAGGGATTCAGCTTAACGAATGCAACTTCGGATGGAAGCTCTTAGAGGAGCTTGAGCCTGGCTCATTTCAAAGAAGAGAAACTGGTGTGGGTCAGGACTAAGCCAGTGCAAAGATAAAGTTATGTTGATCTGGTATCATGCCTCAAAAGTGAAGCAGTCATAATTTGAGTTTGTTTCTTCTTCCTCTATTCAATGTGTCACAGTTTTGCTGAGCCTTCCTGCACAAACTTATCTGTATTCTTCAGATGTGCCAGGAATGATCAGCTTTCTGAGGAAGCACTAACTCTCATGAACACAATGCTAGCTGACACTTCTAGAACATTCATTCTTAATCACTTCCAACAGTCGGCAAGAAAGAAAGGGAGGCACCATTTCACCTAAGAAAGGGAGGCACCATTTCACCTTCCACATCAGCTGCCCCTGTTGTTACAAAGCAGGATTCCCACTATAACAAGAAATTCCAAAAAAGCAAAACAACAGCAAAAAAGTAACAAACCCTAATAAAGTAATACGAGTACATCTCGCATGAGATTTAGAACACGGAGGATAAGCATGCAACACATACTCAAACATCACAGGAGTAAAATAAATAAATAACCACTTACCAACAACAACTTTGATTTCTTTAGATTGGTTCATGCAATGAGCTGCAGTAAGTATAAAATTTTCATTCAAAATAGTTCCACCGCAAAACTCTTCCCCTTCCTCATTTAACAGAACAGCCTGTAAGTGCAGAATTAAGAAGAGCAATTTAATGTCAATGAGCCATAAAAACAGGTTACTGATTTCTCTGCACACTACATATATGCTTATTACTGCAGCATGTACTACCCTGCAGGTCTCTCCTAATACTGCATTCACACATCCATATGCTACAGTCTTGACTGTCTTCATGTAAAGCAGACGTTTGGCTGCCATATCACCTCATTCACAGTGCTTAGTAATGTCTCTTAGGAGCAAGGCATTGACTGAAAGCCGTCTCTGGGCTTTCTCTACGTTAAGCAGCACCATCTAAAATTGCACAAAGCCTTTCATTTTGACATTTCAAGGCTGCAGTTTGCAGAACAGCACACTGAAGGGCCTAAATTCATGCAATTCTGCTACCTCGAGCTACAAATGGCATCCTATATGGGTAACAGTCAGCCAGCAAACAGGTTAAATCAACAATGGCACACTTTCCCCCAGAAACATGTTCTGCTTACATGCAGAGCACAAACACCACATTTACCTGCCATGGACATTCACCAAGCAGACACTCATCACCACCTACTATCCTGGTATTGACATATTGAGTATTGCTATTTGTTTCACTGTCAGGACGGAGGGTTGGGCTTTCTGTGGTAATAACAATGTCCTCTTCCAAATTTGTTTCATATGTGGGAGCCACATCTGGATCACCCGTTACATTGCTGTTATCAGTGAGTAAAATAACCGACCTTTTTTTTCTTTTCACAAAAACTTTTCCACAAGGATATTTTACTGTAAAGACAAGAATGTTAAAATTAGAAATGGACAGAAACACCAGCACAAGAGGAAAATCCTTGACAACAGCATCTCACAATAAATCAGTTAATGCAGCTGTCCTGTTTTCAAAACACTAGCAAAACCTTGGCAGATGCAACAAAGGAGGAAGACCAGATGGTTTGAAATATGAAAGAATAAGTATTTGAAACTTAAAACTTGATCTTCAATTGTTTACATTGCTATATTCATGTATTTGCTCTTACTGAAACAATCAATTAAGAGACTGAGTGGGGCGTTTTATTTTAGGAACAATATGGCTCCTGACAGCAATTTCTTATTAGTTATAAAGGATAAAAACCCCAGCATCATGAGTATATAGTTGACTTATGCCCCCCCAGGTTTGTTGAAATACATCAAAAATGTACAAATAACATTAATCATAATTACTTGATGTCATCAGTTACTATCTATGTTAACTGAAATCTAAAGAAGAAAAGATTTTGCAAGCTGTTATTTATATGGCATGTAAGTGTTTAAGTAAATGAGATATAACTGTAATCACTTTTCTCCTCTGTCAACAGCAGAGTTTACTCAGGTAATTCTGTAAGGCATCTTGCAAAGGGTTCCAAATCAGCTAGATTTTTATAAGTCTGTTGCATCACCTCACAACCAGAAGTCTTTGGATTTACAAATCAGTTGGCCTCAGTGTTAGATCTATGTAATGTAGAATGCTGATGGTTCAAAAGACATTCTTTAACTGTGAAACAAGCCTCACCACCATTGCTCTTTATATCATGACTTCATACCTTTCGAAACACAGCGTTTGCCATCCTCTGCTAGAGCATACCCTTTTGCACAGGAACACAAAACATCCTTCTGTACACTGCTTTTGATGCTGCAGAACTGCTCACAGTCACCATTGTTTATTTTGCAGTACTTTGGTATGACTATAAAAGAGACATTTGGAAAAAAAACTGTAAATAAACACTGACTTCTCAGAAGATCTCAAAGTTCACCAAATTAAACCACACTCTTTAAACAGGACCTGTATCTCCACCTGTAAAACATTTGAAGCACATCTTACTAATAATGTGAGTGGGTAACAGTAGCTTATGCCTTACAAAGCAGTCACATCTGCCACATGAAATATACTTGGCAAGTCCAAGTGAGCCCAGTGGCCATGTCATGGTGAGCTCAAAAAAGCAAAGACAACCCGACAGTGGAAGAATGAATAAAACACTAACAGAGAAGCCCAGATACTGTTAAATACTCACATGATTCCTCCCTTCTGCCTTACAAAACTGATCTCCTCATCACTCCCTTCAGTCCTGTGTCTGAGCTTTAGTTACACATCTTCCAGTCTTACTTCTGGGCTCCAGTAACATCATCAGGGTAGTAGCTGAATGCCACGGAAGTGAGACTCAGGAAGGATTTATATGCAGAAAATTATTCCTTGCAAGGCTGAAAAAGTCTCTGCACTGTCTACTCAAATCTGCTTTCTTTTGTTCTTACTGCTGTGAGCTGAGTAGGGAGGCTGTACTTCTGAGGTTGTAATAGAGGTTCTTTGACATCAGTTATAAGAATCCCATGCTTCCTAGTTTTATCATCACATTTTGGGGATTCAAGCTCATATGAAGAAGCACTATTATAATTAAGAGGTCTCTCTCTGGAGCAAGCATAAGTTCAGAGCATTCACTAACACTATCCAGCTGTAGAGCCACCAGGGCTTTGTGTTTCTGGTTCTGTCCTCCAACTCACTGTTGACTGCCATCCTATTCTATGCATTTTACCAAGAGGCAAATAATACTGGTTAAGAAAGAGTTAACTCTCTATGTTTCAGCTCCCTTGGAAATTCACTGCCACAGATCTCTATAGCAGAAACCTACCAAATTCACAGTTCTTGCCTTGATAACCATCCAAGCATGAGCAAGTGTAGGAACCAATTCCATCTTTACAATGTCCACCATACTGACAAGGACTTGAGCTGCACTGGTTCCCATCTACAAAAACAAACCAAAAATGAAACTATTGTCAGAGTGTGAGCATTTTGAGTGAACTCTGAAGGGGTGTTAATAAGCAATCTTTCGTCCTTCCTTTTAAACATATGTCCTATGAGTTGCCACATTCCAAATGGAACAAACAGTATAAATGCAATCATTCCAAAGCAGCAATGATTCATATACATATTCTCAGTTTTGCAATCTTTTTTTGGTGGCTACTCTATGACAGCAGGTACACAAGCCTTTTTTTGTAGGAAGATACAGTAATGCATCACAGATAAAGTATGTATCATTTACAGTGAAGATGGTGAAAGCAGACAGGACATTTCTACATTGCAACTACTGTCTAAAGATATTAACCTTTTGGCCTCTTGCATTTCCTGGCAATTTCTGCATCATAATGACAACTCAACTTTTATTTAAAAGTTCATCCCTTGTGCATGTCTTTTGCCTGCAGTGCTGTTCATGGAGACATGTTCCATGTAGCAGCCCTTTCTCCCACCCCCACAAAAGTATCTCACCCCTGCACTGATGTTCACTGCCATCGTCTCTCCCATCTAGTGATGTATTGTAACAAATGTGTTCCCCCCCATCACATGAGGGAACCCTGCTGGGCTCTTCTGCACTGTTTGGTGAGAAAAGCAGAATACCCAGAGAAGTGACACTTACTAATTTGTTGCTTTAGATGACATACTTGCAAATTTCGGTATTTTACCACCTCTTCTGCCCATTTGGAGCAGCTGAAGAACAGCAATGCTCACAGAGAGACAACATACAAGAAGATGCTCATACTAAGCATCCAGCATGCATGGTGGTGCTGGCCTGCCACCTCATCTGCTGCAGCTTTATCTGCCACAGGGAAAATCTGCTGGGCTTTGTGTACTGTCCCCACGCCTGAACACCCCTTCTGTACCTGCACATGGCCAAAACCGACAATACTCAAATGCTGCATCTGTGCAGTCCACCACAGAGGCGTTGAAGACTGATCTCTACCCTCAAGAGCGAAGCTGAGATCGTCATTTACCAAAAGAAAAACAGATTTGAGGCCTGCAGCACAGTTCCTGGTTTCTGCCTCCTCTGCAGTGCCAGAGCAGTCCATTCTGCAGTAGCCTAAGCCAAGAAGCATCCTACTGTTGGAAACCATACTTGTTTAGCTTTTCCCT